CCTGGCTGGTCCAGTAAGTTCTGATTCCCCGACCGTAGTGCTCTTGGGGAAAATGTGGGGAAAGGCGGTCCCTTAAGTAGGCTGGTCCCTGGCCATATAGGGCTTTAAAGGTAATAACCAGCACTTTGAAGCGAACCCGGTACGCTATAGGCAACCAGTGCAGCGCTTTCAGCACAGGCTGGATGTGATCTCGTCTAGGAAGATCCATCAACAGCCTGGCTGCAGCATTCTGCACTAGTTGCAGCTTCCGAATTTGCGACAAAGGCAGCCCCATGTAGAGAGCGTTACAGTAGTCTAGCCTCGAGGTGACCGTCGCGTGGATCACAGTGGCTAGGTCATCCCGGTCGAGGAAGGGAACCAACTGCCGTGCCAGCCGAAGGTGGTAAAATGCCGACTTGGCAGTGGCTGCTACCTGGGCCTCCATCGTTAACGAGGAGTCCAGGAGCACCCCCAAACTCCTAACCTCCGACGCCGGCACCAAGGGCGCCCCGTCGAAGGTCGGGAGCCCCAACCCCGGACCGATCCGACTCAGCCCCGGGACCTCCGTCTTTGCCGGGTTTAAGTTCAGCTGACTCAGTCTGAGCCACCCAGCCATGGCCTGTAACGCCCGACTAAGGTCATCGGGAGTGGAATCCGACTGGCCGCCCAACATCAGATACAGCTGGGTGTCATCAGCATATTGATGACACCCCAGCCCACAACTCCGGGCAATCTGGGCAAGGGGGTGCATGTAGATGTTAAACAACATCGGGGATAGCACTGCCCCCTGAGGTACACCACATTCAAGGGGCCACCTCCGGGACCGCTGATCCCCTATCGCCACCCTCTGTCGCCGACCCTGGAGAAAAGAGACCAGCCATTGAAGGGCAAGCCCCTGAATCCCCACGTCGGCAAGGCGGTGGGCCAGCAACTGGTGGTCGACCGTATCAAAAGCGGCCGACAGGTCTAACAGCAACACTGCCGCCACACCGCCTTGACCCAGATGCCTACGGAGGTCATCAGTCAGTGCGACCAGAATAGCCTCCACCCCGTGACCAGGGCGAAACCCGGACTGGTGGGGATCGAGGACAGAAGCGTCATCCAGAAATGCCTGCAGCTGTGTTGCCACCACTCTCTCAATCAATTTGCCCCAAAAGGGCAAATTGGACACCGGCCGATAGTTGGCCAATTCGGCCGGGTCTAGAGATGGCTTTTTCAGGAGAGGGCAGACCATCGCTTCTTTGAGTGCCCCGGGGAATCGTCCCTCCACGAGAGACTTGTTAATAATCTCCCGCAGGGCACCTCGGAACCCATCGCGACCCATTTTAATGCCCAAGACTCTGGGTAAGCAGAAACGCAAGGTACAAATGTCTTAAGTGAAACAAAACAGAGATATTAAACGATGCAAAAGGAAATGAGAAACTGCTACCTTCTTATTTTGCTGGTGAAGTGCAGACTGCAAGTGACTTTTCATAGATGCCTCATCCACACAGAAGCAGGAACAAATCTGACAGAAAAAGCCAGCTTTTGGGACAAGGAAGTCTAGATCTGAAAGCAAACACGCAAACAAAGTTAACAAGAGTGACTCAGTCCTTTACTTCTGCGAGGTAAGGTCAGTGGGGAAAATGGAAGGGGAAAGAACCCTCATAGCAGTTCTCTACAATCACGATTCTCAGGTCTATCTTTAAGAAGGTTCTTGGGATCTATCTGATACAGTGATTCACAACTTAAAAAAAAAAGGCTTGAAAGTGGCACATCTCAATGCAGAGAACCTGGTGAAGAAATCAATCTGCCAAGAACTCCAAGGAAAAAGTTTCTAGCACAAAAGGCCCCTGAGAACTACCATCAGAAAGGAGTACTTATGGAAACATGCCCATCGTGGTGGACTGTAGCTGAAGGTATGCCTCAATTCGAGCTCTGACTGTTCATTCCAAGCTGGCCCCTCTGTCTCCTGGGACCCCGGCCAACATTCTTTCTTTGAAGTCTGCTGGTCACTCAAGGGCAGGGGCAGAAAGTGTGCAGGGGGAGGATTCCTACGGTTTATGCAGCTCCACGGTGTCTAGTCTCTACCTTCTGGCTCCCAGGGCCTCACGTTCCCTCTCCTGCAGGATCTTACCAAAAATACTGCACCGTGAAATCAGAATTCTGCAGATACACTTTGATTATGCGAGTTTTCATACTCTGAGCATCCAAAGACTGAGCCTGTGTCAGAATCCCCAAGCCCCAACAGCACTGGCCTCAGATTCAGTAAAAAAAACCACGAGGGAGAGAGAGGACAGTGCACGCTATATACGCAGCAACACCACTTTCAAACTACATTTCGGCTCAAATCGAAGTCTGATAAAAACAACTACAAACAAAATGTAGATGGTAGACAGGCTCAAAGGCTTTTGGTTTAGAACGTCAGGTATAACATCCCAGGTCTTACCTTCCATGTTATCCGGGGCCTTTGATTCCTCTGAAGAATCTACCGTTCTCTGTTCAGACTCCGGTCCTTCACATTCTGGCCCAGCCAATTCTATTAAAGGACATTTTAATTAGCGAACACATCTTATGTTTACTACAGTAACAAAGCTAAATATGGCTGGTCTGCAGCCTTTACGGGAATTTTTTTTACACGCAGCAGAATTGGTGAGAGTTATTTATCTACCTCTCTGCATCTCCCCTCTCTGCCAAACAACTGAAGAGAGATGAAATTTAGTCCTTAGAGGAGAACACCAGAGACTCGGTGGCTACATCCATAAATAATTCAAATAACAGATAAGCACCACAAAGAGACCGAAGCAGGATTTCCCTCCTCAGTTGGTCTTTCATTGGGTGAAATCTCTTTGCCTGGCCATATGAGATAAACTGCAGAGTCTGCAACACGGAAATGTGGGTTAACTACAACAACTTAATAGCCAATTTCTGCCTCGAAAGATCCTTGCTTGCAAGATATGCCCCACTCAACCTTCCTCAAACGCAAAGACCATTGTTCACTACATTTCACACTTTCTTTGGTATACTGTGCCCTACTTGTGTTCATAATCTTTATGGCAGACTAGGAAACAGGGACGTTGTAGCAATAAAGACAACGGGTGCTAGCTCGAGGCGCCGGCAGGCCAAGGTGGCCGTCCTGCCCCCCACACACACTTGAGGCGGCGGTAGGCAAAAGCAGTGGATCTCGCTCCCCCCCCCCGCCCATTCGTGGTCCCGGCAGGGCAAGGCAGCCAGCCTCGTCCCTCCCCCTGGCACATGCCAAGGGATCAGCAGGCCAATCCGGCCGGACTCGTCCGTGTGCCCACAGGCCACGCAAGGTGGCAGCAGGCAAGGCGGCCATCTTCACGCCTCCAACCTGCCGCGCACTCGAGGCAGCAGTGGGCCAAGGGGGCCGGCCTCGTCCCTCTTCCCATGACCCACTCGTGGCGCCGGCAGGCCAAGCCAGGTGGCCTCATTCTTCCACTGTGCCGCGCAGTCGAGGCAGCAGTGGACTGAGGTGGCCTGGCTCGTTCCTCCCCCCGCCAGCCGCTTGAGGGCCCAGCCTCATCCCTCTGCCCACTGCCCGTTTAAGTGAGCAAGCACCGCACATCATGGTGGAGCAGCGGCGAGCAATGGACTCCTCGTGGGGGCAGCAGAGGGAGGAAGCCGGTGCTGGCTCCCGTGGGGCTTGGCCTGCAAACGCTGCGGCCAGCAGAGCATCCTGCCTGTCCAGTGGCTCTCAGCCTACTACGGCTGAAACACTGGGTGGGTCGTCTGTGGGCGGGAGGAGGCGCGGGACGAATGCAGCCAGAGGCCAGGGACCCCGTTCTGACTGGCAGTTGGGGGGGTCCCAAAGGCTGTGGGGGCGGGTGGACACGAACAACGCTTTTGATCTATTCCACTGTTAGCCCACCCGTTCTCTCCCTCAAGACCAAGACAAATGTGTCACTAACACGCCGTGGATCAGGACAAGTGTGCATTGTTTGAAACAGCTGCCCACAGGAACAAGATGCTAATTGCAGTCCTTTGTCAGGGCAAACAGAACTCAACTGAACAAAGCTGCTTCTGCACTAGAATCAGCAAGCTGGCTAACGGGGCCCGTCTACATTCCTTCGAAAGGGATTTCTATGGCAATTTCAACCAGGAAATAGCTCAAGAGCGAGGCACGTTTGGTAGGAAACCCATGGAACCACCATCCTCTGCTACTGGCAGAACTGTCCCTTCCTCTCAAAGAAGCATTAGAAAAATCCTTGTCCCCTTCCCACCTTAGAAAGGGAAGGAGGACAGCGAGAGAGGACTCTGTCCTTCCACCTTCTTTCTGGAGATAAGAGCAGAGATGTAAAATTTCCGGAATTTTGGGGGGAAATTGGAAAAAAAAATGCTACATTAGCACTTCTTTTTTCTTTTCCAGATTGAAAGTCACTCTGTTACTTTAGGAACATAAAATATGACTATGGACATTTTTACTTGGCATGAAATTATCACAACTAGCATATTAAAAATATAGTGTATCCAAACAATTATTACAAACAGAATACCCACCCACATGCAAAAACAAAACTGAAACCTTTTTCTTTTCTTGTGACAATAGCACCTTCTAAAGGAAGAAAGGCATTTTGTTCTTGCATTGGAGACTTCAGTTTGTAACCTAGGACTTGCTTGCCCTCAGTGCACAGAAATTAGATCAATTTGATACCATACGTATTTTTTAGAAATGATTTGGAAAATATTTGAACACCTTGTCTTAAAATATTTTATACATCATGTTAACATAAAATGTTCCATAATCAATTTTTTTCTTTTCTTTTCTCTTTTCAATTTTTTGGAAAAAAACACAAAAAGGCTTCAGGAAAAAAAGGGGGGGAAACAGAGTTTTTCCAAATTTTTCCAGGCCATCACATCTCTAGATAAGAGCACCGCAGGGCCTGCAAAATCCCCACTGCTGCACAGCAGGCAGGACTGGACAGAACCATCTCCTGCCAGGGTTGGTTTAAACAGGAGCCCTCACGGAGCACGCTGGAGCAGCAACCCTCACCACGACACTATGCTCCTCCACTGCCGGAGGGAATGCCGCCCCAGCAGCTCATGCTACTGCTCTAGCGAACACAGTGTGTAACTCCAGCAAGACAGAGAGCTCAGAACAAATCCTGAGACTGCGACAGAGTCCGCCAGACAGAAGAAGGGAACCGTTGACGGATAGCTTGGCTACGGCGTCGTGGTTGAGCAACAAGCCACACAGCTGGTCTTGCACTGACCGCAGCGTGTGTCAAATCAAGGCCTCTGCTGCGGATGCCCAGCTCTCGCCTAGCAAGGACAGACCCCCCAAAGTGACCTACTGGGACTCCACCAGCCTCCAAATGCTGAATGGCTTTGGGAGACCCTCTATCTAGTGATTTTATCTAGTTTTCCCAGTTCAAGATGGGTTAGTCTGTCTGTAGCAGTAGAGAAGAGCAAGAAAAGAGCTCATCCCTGGCCACAAATGTTGTGAGTCTTTAAGGTGCTCCTGGACTCTTGCTCTTTCCCACAGTGGAGTTCAACAGCTGCCAGCAGCTCTTGAGGTGGAACTGACACACCTGCCCAGTGGCTCCTACCTTTCTCGGGCTTCTCAGAAGACTGCGAGGGGGTCACCTCACTGCAGCTCCCCTCCTTGCCTCCTGGATCCTGGCCGAGCCGTTCGGATCTTGCCTCCGGATCCTCACCCCCTGCAGTCTGGCGGCCTGCAACAGAAACCTCCTGGGCTGGAGCAGCCGTCACAACATCTCCCGTTTGCTCTGTGGGAGTCGCAGATTCTGGGCATCCCTCAACATCCATTTCTGGTGCTTTGGCCTCCACATCCTCCTCAGGGCTCTCTAACTCTGTTTCCACAGAAATATGACAGCTCGGTTAATTGCTTCCCAGGTGTCACTTTTACCTATGTCGTTGAATGATCTTTGACTATTTAAGATACATCATTAAAAAGACACTCTGTCAGTATCGAACACTGGCAGCATTATGTACTGAAAACATAATAAAACAATCCATCACAACAAAGTGCCAGTGCTCTTGATATTGGTTCTTATCGATCCAAGATGGGGTTCCGTTGACCAGCTTAACCCATCCGGATAATACTACTGTCGTCCTTTCATGATTAGTTCTTCAGGTCATCTGGTCGTCTTCCCAGGGCCAGCTCGCATCCAGATCGACTCCACCGTCAGAGATAGCAGCTCGGTGGTAGTACAGTGGTGGCAGTGGCTCCTATGCAAAAGCCTGGTGGAAGAGCTCCGTCTTGCAAACCCTGCGGAACTGCGCAAGGTCCCACAGGGCCCAGATCTCCCCTGGGAGCTCGTTCCACCCGACAGGAGCCGCCGCCGAAAAAGCCCTGGTCCTGGTTGCGGCCACCTTGATGTCCTTGGGGCCTGGAACAACCTATAGGTGTTGTGCCCCTGACCATAGTGCTCTTGGGGGAACATATGGGGAAAGGCGGTCCCTTAGGTACGCTGGATCCTGGCCATCAAGGGCTTTATAGGTAAGAACCAGCACTTTGAAGTGAATCCAGTACACTATAGGCAGCCAGTGCAGCGCCTTCAACACCGGCTGGATGTGGTCCCGCCTAGTGAGACCCATCAGCAGCCTGGCTATCGCACTCTCCACTAGCTGCAGCTTCCGGATTTGCAACAGAGGCAGCCCCATGTAGAGAGCGTTACAGTAGTCCAGCCTCAAGGTGACCGTCACATGAATCACTGTGGCCAAGTCCTCGCGGTCAAGGAGAGGAACCAACTGCCGTGCCAGCAGAAGATGGTAAAAGGCTGATTTGGCAGTGGCTGCCACCTGGGCCTCCAACGATAAAGAGAAGTCCAGAAGCCGTCCCAGACTCCTAACCCTCAACACCGGCACCAAAGGTGCCCCATCGAAGGCCGGGAGAGAAAGCCCCAACCCCGAACCGACCCGACTTAGGCCCAGACCTCCATCTTCACTGGGTTTAGTTTCAACTGACTCAGTCTGAGCCAACCAGCCACAGCTTGCAATGCCCGATAAAGGTCATCTGGGTCGGAGTTCGTCTGGCCGCCCAGCATCAGATAGAGCTGGGTGTCATCCGCATATTAATGACACCCAAGCCCAAAACTCCGGACAATCTGGGCAAGGGGGCGCATATACCGTACATGTTAAATATCATTGGGGACAGCACGACCCCCCAAGGCACCCCACACTCGAGAGGGTGCCTCCGGGACTGCTGATCCCCTATCACCACCCTTTGTCCCCGACCTTGCAGGAACAAGGCAAACCATTAAAGGGCGAGCCCCTGAATCCCCACGTCGGTGAGGCACCATCAGCTCGACCATATTGAACGCGGCCGACAGATCTAACAACAGCTATGCCACCACACCACCTCAATCCAGATGCCTACCAAGGTCGTCAGTCAGGGTGACCAATGCCGTCTCCGTTCCGTGACCCGGGCAAAAGCCAGGCTGGAAGGGATCTAGGACCAAAGCATCCTCCAGAAAGCCCTGTAGCTGTGACGCCACTGCCCTCTCTACAAGTTTGCCCAAATAGAGCAAATTGAACACCGGCCAATAGTTGGCCAATTTGGCCGGGTCCAAAGATGGCTTTTTTAAGAAGGGGCGGACCATCGCCTCCTTAAGTGCTCCAGGGAACCATTCCTCCGAGAGGGACTTGTTAATAATCTCCCGCAGAGCACCTCGAAACCCCTTGTGACCTGCTTTAATAAGCCAGATCAAGGTCGCATGTGGTTGGGTGCACAGATACAAGCAATCTGTCAACTTCGTCCAGGCTGAGTGGGCTAAAGCATTCTAAACCCGGAGCCGAAGGCGTGCAAGGGGCCTTGAGTTCACTCACTGTCTCAATTGTGGTGGAGTGGTCGTGGCGGAGCGCCAAGACTTTATCTGCAAAATAGCTCGCAAAAGCCTCACAGCCAATCTCCAATTCCCTATCGTTTCACCTGCCCTGAGGAAGGTCTGTCAGTGACCGAATCGTACTAAGTAATTGGGCCAGGCGTGAGCTAGCAGATGGACCCCATGGAGGAAATGCTAGCACTAGGTACAGCACTTAACTCAAGCTGTGAT